CGGTTTCATAACGCAGCATCGTTGGCGCAATAGCGTTCGTGCATTCATCAATCTGGAAGGATCGGGTGCTGGCGGCAGAGAAATCCTATTTCAGGTTAATTTTTACAGTTTTCTTCGGTGTTTTTTTCTGAGGAATCAGATGAATCATATTCATCATCAGTTTTGTTCGATAAGGCGTTTGTTTTTTTTTGTTGTTTTCGTTAGGTATTCAGTTTCACCTATGAATTCAATTTCAAATTGATTTACAAGCGTGGGTTCGGAGGAGGTAATATTGCTCGTGATTAGTCTTGTTGAAGATGTTGGAGATTATTCAGTGTATTCCTAAATATGTGTGTGTGTGTGTGTGTGTGTGTGTGTTGTATTTTGAAGATGAAGATGCGAGATAGAATTTGTTGTATTGTTTAGATGCAAAGAAATTATATGCAGCAAAGTATAGCATCCATCTCTGTTTTCGAGTAAAATTTCATTCGAATAAAATATGAAATGAAATGAATAAGAGAGAATGAAACGAAGAATTAATGAGAGATTGAGTAATAATGAAATTTTGAATGAAAATGTAATATGAATGAATGTTTATACTGCATACATATCTAGAAAGTACTGCATGCATATCTAGGAATATGCAAAAGGATTTATTTGATATTTTGGTTATATTTTGATTTGTTAAAATTGGATTTTATTTGATTTCACTCTGATATTTGTTCTGATTTGATGTTTAATTGTATGTTTGTGATGTTGAAGGCGGGCCCAGGTAATTCGTGGTTGCTACAAACCTACTTGGAGAACGTACCACATCCGCATTGTAATGTTCTGGCGCAGGAGATATTCCAGGCGGGTCTGATACCGTCAGACACGGACTTTCGAATATTCCGTGATTATGGTCTTATTTCGGGTGAGCAGATTTGTTTTTATTTTGTTTTCTGGAGAGAAAAATTTTTGGACGTTTATTTTGAAGGTCTTGGAATATAGGTAGAAACTTAACCGATAATTGGTACGTCGCGGGTTCGATTCCCGTTGGCCATAGGGGAGAAACGTTTTGCTCGGAACCGAGCGGCGTACCAATCTAATTAATGTTGTGAGCCTGAGCCAGCAGGTTATGATCTGGAATGGGTGATTTCAGGCTTGGACATAGCATACTTTCGGAATGGTTGGTTGTATCATACGGAATTTGATAGACCTGAATTCATTAACGAAGGATGCATACAACGGGCTGGCGATAACATTCTTGCTCTGGTCAAGGTAAGGGAAGAATAGTTTTTTTTTAAAGAGATTGATTGTGCTCGTAATTTGTTTATTTAATCGTTTTATTAATAACTTTATCAGCGAAATGTATATCGAAATGAACCTGTAAAAGCTGAATAGATGGAAAGAATTGGCTG